CTGTGTTTACTTGGTTGGGTCTGAGCGGCTGTGGGACTGGCGGGTGACAGAGATTTGTCCTGACTGTGGGCCAGGCAGGAAAACTCTAGCTACAGTCCTCTCTAAGCCCTGCCCTACTACTTCCAGTTTCTATCTGTCCTCAGTTCTCCAAAACCTCTGAGATTAACTTTGGTCAGCTAGTGGCTAGCTCCACCCTCTGATTCAAAACAAACTTTATTAATAATCAGAATGTGATCAAAATATCACAACATATATACAATAAGAGTAATTGTCGGGCGGTGGTGGCACACGCCTTTAATCCCAGCACTTGGGAGGCAGAGGCAGGCGGATTGCTGTGAGTTCTAGGCCAGCCTGAACTACAGAGGGAGTTCCAGGAAAGGCGCAGAACTACACAGAGAAACCCTGTCTCGAAAAACCAAAAAATAAAAAATAAATAAAAATAAAGAATAATTTATCAGGTAAGAATTACATTCACAATGCCCAGTCCATTTACATTTGGCAGAAAAATATTCCTTTATTTATCCTATCTTGGTGAGACCAACGTTTTGTACCTAATTTTCATTCTAACCTAACTTGTATTACCAACTCAAAACTATCCTTTTATGTATCTTTAAACCTTATATACTTCTTTTGTGAGTTTCTTTTCTGAATTTGGTAACAAGGAAAACTATAATTGTCTAGTCTTCAACTCCATCAGAAACCCAAGAAGGAAATAATATTACCTGAATAAGAAGTGCAGAGCAAACAACTTCCAAAACTAAGAAATCACAGAAACAGCTGGCTGCCTGGACAGTCAACCAAGGTTCCTCTGTAACATTAGGGCATCGATCTTCAGCCTGCAGGCCTAGAATATCTGACACATTTTTGTGAAGCAAAATGTGAAGGACTGTCCCACCTTGTCTTGGCAAAGTTCAACAGTCACTTTTGGGTCCTGCTTGTCCAATTTGGACAGCATACTGTCAGCAGTTGAAGAAAGGGCAGTTTATTGCCCAGTGGCTAACTTTTGCCACAAAGAAAGCAAACTCCATATGGAATTTCTTCAATGCCCATCATATTCTCTGAAGTAGATTGGTGCTGCCAGGAGCAGATATGTCTCTGTCATAAAAAGCCTTGTATTATTAAAACATCTTAAATGCCGTATTCTATAGATCTCTGAAGTGTTTGAAGACCACTTATCTTTTTGACATTGAAAACATACCTAACATGACTAGAAGTTTGATTGTAATAGGTGGCTAACTACTAATCTGCATTTTTTATTATCCTGAATAGTTCATAATAATAACTTTCAAGGACTAGAAATTTTCATTGCGTTGTTAAATGAGCTGCTTAGGTACAGTATCTTAAAGAAGAGTAGAAACATATGTAGAGTATGTTCTAACAAAAATAACCAAGTTTGTATCAGTATACAGAAATACTTTAAGAATAGAAACATATACAGTATAACAAAAATAACCTTAAATTTGAATCAATATACAAAAATCCATACCAAAGTAAAATATTTAAGATTAGTAGTTGCTCTATAGTTTAAAAGTAGATTCAGTAATCTACCCTTTTATCTTACTATTTCTGTATCCCCCTTTTTCTTTTCAGAAAGGATCCCTGAATCTAATCTTTGTTCAGCTTTTTTCCTGACAATGACCAATAACAACTTGTAACGGACCAACCCCCCCTAAACGATAACAAATATCCATAACCCACTGAACAACCAAAAACCACCAACACTACCTCTTGGGAATGTGGGCTTCGTGTTCTTAAAATTACTTCCTGCTGTCTTGGGGTGACGGCATCTTTAGAGAAGCCTGAGAAAATTGGGGTAATGGTCAAGTCCTGGGAGAGCTAGCACTTGAACTCACAGATCCAAGAAGCATACCAATCTTTTGAGACTTTTTTTTCTTTTTTCCCCACAAATGAGTATCATGGTATAGCTGCCTCTGTTAGGAAAAGTATGAGTATGCACACTTAGGAGACATGTAAAGATATAAAGTACATCAAAGTGTTTAACTCCATGTTCAAACACACACTTTTTAATGTGTATGCGTGAGTGCCTACATGTATGAATGTGCACCATGTGCTTTCTGGGTTCCAATGGTGGAGGCCAAAAGAGCGTTGGATCCTCTGGGAGTACAGTTAAAGGCAGTTGTGAGCTGCCCGACTCAGGTGCTGGAAATTGAACTCATCATCCATAAGAGAGGCCAGTGCTGTTGACCACTGAGCCATTTCTCCAGCCCTCTATGTTCAATTTTACATATTTTAAAAATTCTTTTCTTTGTGTATAGGTGTTTTGCCTGCGTGCGTCTGTGCACCCCTTGTGTGCCTGGTGCCTTTGGAGGCTAGAAGAGGAACTGGAGTTACAGACAGTTGTGAACAGCCATGTGCATGCTGAGAATGGAACCTGGGTCCTCTGCGAGAACAGCCAGTGCTTTTAACCACTGAGCTATCTCTCCGGCCCTGATTTCTTTTTAATGTTTATGTATGTGGATATGTGTTTATGGAGGCCACAGGTCAACCTCAAGCATCATTCCCCTAGGAGCCATCCACCTCGTTTTTAAAGACGGGGTCTCTTCTTGAGCTCACCAAGTAGACTAAATTGGCTGTCTGGCAAGCCCCAGGGATCCCTGTGTAGCTGCCTTCTCAACACAAAGATTGCATGCACCTGCCACCACACCATGCTCTTCTGCATGGGTTCTGGGGATAGAGTTCAAGTTCTCATGCGAGTGCTTTAACAACTGAGCTACCTCCTAGAATTCATCTCGTAACATTTGGTGGCATTTTATGGTTAACCTTTAAGAGTAAAACTAGGAAAAAGATTGGGTAGAGCATTTGACTGGCATGCAGGAGGCCCTAGGTTCTACCCAGCCCTGGAAGAAAGGAGAGAAAAGACAATTCAAGCAACCATAAAAGTACCCTTGTAAGAAGTCTAAACTGGGCTGGAGCGATGGCTCGGTGGCTAAGAGCGCTGCTGCTGTCCCAGAGGACCCAGGTTTGATTCCCGGCACCCACCTTGTGGCCCACAACATCTGTACCTCTAGTCCCAAGGGGTCCTCAGCCCTCTTCTGGGTTGCACAGGCACCATACACACAGGTCATGAACATAGCACACGCAGATGAAACACTGGCTGTGATCAGTCAATATCGCCAGCTTCCAAATAACCGCATGGACACTTAATTATGAATGATCAGCCTTAGCTTAGGCTTATTTTCTACTAGCTCCTATAATTTAAATTAACCCATTTATATTCATCTGTGTCTTGCCACATACTGCCCATCCTGCTTCCTCCTGGCATCTCCTCTGTGTGCCTAGATTCATCCCCAGGTCCTCTCTCTGCCTGGAAGTCCTGCCTAGTTTCCCTGCCTAGCTGTTGACCACTTAGCTTCTTACTACAGCAGTCACCACAGGACCTTCACACAGTGTACAAATATCTCACAACTGACACACAAACTCTCTGTGCATGTAATTGAAAAGAGCACTGGTTGCTCTTGCAGAGGATCCAGGTTTGGTTTCCACCACCTACATTGTAGCTCACAACCCGCTAACTTCAATTCTAGCTAGCACATCTGACGCCCTGTTTTGTTTTTTGAGGACACCAAGCACACACGGGTGCACATATATACATGCCAGCAAAAACACTCATACATTTAAAAATATGTGTTTTTTAAGTCTAAATAATGGGAATAAGCAAGAGTTGGAAATCACAGCACTTATATCCGAACTGTCAAAAGCTGTAAGTTATAATGTGTATAATTACTTGTATTTTAAACCTGTAATAGCAGCACTTAGTAGGCAGAGGCAGAAGAATAGTGAATTTGAGGCTAGCCTGGGCTGCATAGTGAGACATTGTCTCAAAAGGGAAGGAAGGGCTGGGGAGATGTCTTAGCAAGTAAGAGTGCTTACTCAGCAAACTGGGTGGGATTGTACAATCATCTGTAACCACAGAGCCGGGAGGTAGAGACAGGGAAACTGGGATTAGCAACATCGAGGAAGAGAGCTACAACAGCTTGCAGCTGGATATGAGACAGCCAAGCTGACTAGATAACCAGGAAAATCAGGAACTCTGGTGTAAGCATTGCAGCTCGGATGGAAAGGGATCCTGGCAGTTGGGAGCCAAGGAGTACCACAAAGCCACCGGAAGCGTAGCGGCTTACAGCCCTGCTCCAGGGAAAGGTTCCCGAGTACAAGTGAAACAGCTCTCCTCCGGCAGGCGAGGGTTCCCCCAGTGAAGAGGTTACAGCTCTGCTCTGATCTGCTCAGGCGAAAGTTGTTACTTCTGGGCTCTGCTCCCACAAAAATGTCACACCACACAACTTACTCAAGAGTTATTGGGAAGGAAGAATCCAGGAGGGTGGCTGCCTTGGGTATTAAACAGCAGCAAACTAAACACCATACAGACCTTATATAGGATTTCTTGGGGTCAGCGCTTTCCAGGGTGGCTTGGGATTGGTGGAGTTTTGTAGCCTGATTCCGGGGCAAGCTCAGGGATTGGTGGGATTGGTGCTCAGGGATTGGTGGGATTGTGTGCTCAGGGATTGGTGGGATTGTGTGCTCAGGGACCTCAGGGATGGGGGGGATTGTGTGCTCAGAGATTGGTGGGATTGTGTGCTCAGGAATTAGTGGGATTGTGTGCTCAGGGATTGAGGGGATTGTGTGCTCAGGGACCTCAGAGATTGGGGGGATTGTGTGCTCAGGGATTGGTGAAATTCTGAAGCCTGACTCGGGCAAGCTCAGGGATTGGTGGTGTTTCAAACCCCGGTCCTGGGGTCAAGTCCAGGTCAGAGTGTTTTTCCTTGGCCCCTTTTACCCTGGGAAGCAAGTTGATGTTTGCAAGTTGGCTGGCCAGCTCCATGAAGCCCTGGAAGACACACACAAGGCACGGTGCTTTCAAACTTTTACTTTCTAATGTGGCTAAATGTAACAGACTGAACTTTAGATGAGGACAGCTTCTAACAATAAACCTCCAGAGGACACCACCCATAGACAAGGAGCTAGTGTGGGGTCACCCAAAAGGACTGCAGCTATCTATGTCTTGGTAACAGTGATAGGCATTATTCCCTACTATGCTAAACCACATGAGAGCCAAGAGAACTGGTGAGGGCTTCCACACCCCACGCAGGTCAGATCAGCAATACCTGCAAGACTGGCAGAGCTGGCAACGCTGGGCCAGGCTGACAGCCAACGAACTAGCCAGGTTCAACAAAGCAAGTCAGAGATGAGCAGAGGGCTTCAGAGGGTGACCACTCTCCTGAGTGGGCCAGAAGAACATGCACAGGGTGTGTCAACCTCTAATTGGCCCAGTCCCTGATACGTGCAGAGAATCAACCAATCACAAGAGGGTTCTTTGTTTCTTTGTTTTCTTTTGAGACAGGGTTCTCTGTAGCAGCTCTGGCTGTCCCTTGCTCTGTAGACCAGGCTGGCCTCATACTCAAGAGATCCATCTGCCTCTGCCTCTCAAGTGCTGGGATTAAAAAAGTGTGTGCTGCCAGGCCCGGATAGGATTCTCAGTCCTTGTCCAGTATCTGCTCTAAATCATGTATGTGTGTGTGTGTGTGTGTGTGTGTGTGTGTGTGTGTGTGTGTGATGCTAAATAGATTAATATAAATGTTCACACAAATCTGTTATCAGCCAGAGCTTAAAAATAATAGTCACCCCTGCTACTCAGTTTTAGTCATAAATATATCAAAAGGACATAGACTACACTTTCATATTGTCAAAATATTTAAAGTACATGGAAGTAGATTTTGAAAATACTGCACAACTTCCAGGTAACTAGAACAAAGAAAGAAATCTAAAAGCAGCAGATTAAAAGAAACCATCAAAAAGAGAAGGAAAAATTAAGAGGCAACCCTCTCTTCTTGTAACTTAGTGTGAGCCATATGAGGTGAGGGCATGCTGTGGGGCTGTGCCATGGTGTGCAGCTGAGGCATGGGTGTCCCATGCCAGGAAGTGGGAAGGTAGGTGAGTCTCATGAAATAAGGGGAGAGCGAAAATAAATCTGGAAAGGTTTGCAGTTGGGATTATGGGTGTGAATTCTGAGTCTCAGCACGCACACACACACACACACACACACCACGGAGGGCATCATTATGGATAGAATATTTCTTAGCTTTTGTGCGGGGGTGGGGTATGCTTTGGTATAATCTGTGTGGGGTGCAATGTGTGGCTTGTAATTAAAAACTGAGAAGGGTCGCTCTCCAGCCCATGAATGTCTGTAGGCTGTGTGTGTTCCCAGAGTCCAGCTCCCACAAGCTGTTGCTCATACTTGGGTGGGTCTTTAGTGACGCAGCCGGCTGAGTCGTATGTGCTTCTACGACCCTCATCCACCCTCGCTGTAAGTGACCCCAGTAAAGCTCATTGGTTCCCCAAGCTGGGTTTTGATGGTACCCTTATTTTGGCCTGTGTGAGATAGAGAAGCCAAGTGATTGGTCCTAAGGGCTTTTTGTCTGCTGTCCGCTGTTGCTCGGCTGCCTCAGTAGATCTGCTCAGGGAAGAGCAGGCCAGCAGCAGCCAGGGACCCAGCCATGAGCTTTCTCTAGTTAGAGTGAGGATGCCATCCTCTTCCCCAGTCTGAAGCACATGTCTGAGCTCAGAGAATCATGTGTGCCCGTGAGGTCATCGCTTGTCAGTCTTATAATAAGTCTGTGTGCCACAGGTCATGTGGCCATGTCCCACCGTGTCTCCTTCCTTCCCAAGAGGGAGTACTGGTGAGCGCACTGCCGTGTGCATTGGAATCAGAAAGGCCGTCTTCCTCCATAGAGTGAGAGATGTCCTGCTAGGGATCGTGGGAGCAGGTTTGCCACAGTGCCAACTAATCCCGGGGACAAACATCTCTGTGTGTGTGTGCTTGTGTGTGGCATACATGTACCTGAGCAATGGAGGGAGAGCCCTGATGTGGACAGTTGGTTCTCAGAAAGTTGACCTTTCAAAAACACCTCAGACACACAAACACCGGTCTCCCCTGACAACACACTGGAACCTTGGGGTGAACGCAGACGATTATGATGCAAGGAAAGGACCAAGGTGGCCCAGGCCTCAGTCAGATGAACTCAGTCTGAGCAACCACGAGGGGGAAGAGCATTCACATTGTTTACAAACCAAACAAAACAGAAACAAAGCCAGGGAAACAGTCTTGGAGAAATGAAGTTTAAAGGATCAAACTTAGCTCCTGAGTAGAAGCGAACACCCACCGTCTCCCATTAAAATGACTTCGCAGCGGCCATTCCCGGCAGATGACTTCCGGGTCTACTGTGTCCTGTGAGCCTCTGTGTACTGTGCCTTCGTAGATAGCGTAGGAATGGGGGAGGAGCCTTACCCAGAGGAGTTGGGGCACAGGTTACATTTGGGAGGGCTCTGCCGGATTTGACCTGTGAAGGACCCCGAAAAGTACAAACATGTACTTCCTAAGCAGTCAGTCCAGGGCCTCTGTGACGTCAGTGAGTAAAAGTGCAAAGGACCCTCGGTGTGTCAGGGAGCACTTTTCAGACGGGTGTGCCTGTGAACACAAGGACTCAGTGAGGTTGCCGGATCACGGGACACCAGTTTTAGATTCAGGACATGGAAAGAAAAATCATAAAGAACAAAGGTGTTGAGTGGCCCTGCTGGACTAGGTCACATACAAAGAGAAAGCTGCGTAGGGAAAGGAGGCCTCCTGGAGCCTGCTGCTCGCCTCTGCAAGTCAGGCAGGTGTTCGAATCCCG